CATACATCCTGTCATGAACACAGCTGCAGTTGGGATACCTTTGTTATCATGTGGACTCTCATATTGGAAGAGGACATTCAGTATTGAGTGTTTGACGTCTCACACGAAATCCAATTCTTCGGAACACCGACCCCCCTAAAGGGTTTTGGCGACGGCTGCCATGTTGCCTCGTTGTGGCGTCGTGTCATTCAGAGTCGCACCTGCCACACAGACAGAGAGTCTGGAGCTAAAGTGCTGCTGAATCACACCAAAGAGGCTCTGGGCTCCAAACTAAATAAATAAAACGGAGTTGTATCTTAGGCGAAAACAAAACAAGGCGACAGACCTCTACGATATCATCTAGGACTTGATCCATTAACAATAAATGGAGTGGAGGGAGTAGAGCTGATCGGGTTAGTCGATTAACCAAAAAATAGACTGCAACTATTTGGATAATCGACACATTTTTAAAGAAGAAATACCAAACTAGTGTCCGGGTTCCCGCTTCACAACAATGCGGATTTGCTGCTTTCCTTTGGCATGAATAATACAAAAGTTATAATTCAATGAGTTTCGGATTTAGGGTTGCATTCAAAGATGGCAGCCTGGTATAACCATAAAGATTTATCAACATTTTCTAGTTTCTTTACACCTTTGAAGACGGTAAACTGAATATCTTTGGGTTGAAGACAAAAGAAGACAGTGAAGGACGTGATCTTAGGCTTTGAAATGTTATCAACCAAACCATTAGCCAATAGAAATTAAGACGAAAAAAAAGGATTTTGATATCTGTCAGGTGTTGAGATGCTACGGACCAAATTTGAAGTCAATCTGATCAAATCTCTGGGAGGAGTTTGTTAAAGTACGAAACATTTGATATTTTGCCTTAAATTGAATTTTCACCCGTCCCAAAATGTGGTGAGTTTTCGAGTATCGTATGGACCTTGAAAATGCGACCAAAGACTGCTTTTTTAAACTCCTGTATGACAGTAAACTAAATATCAAAAGAAGACATTTGGGAAACACTGATCAACATGTTTCACCAGTTTCTGACACGTCATGGCCAAACCACTAACCAATTAATAAAGAAATTACTGGACCGATTAAGAGCAACCGGATTATTCCATCAACAGAACATTTAACGGCAACTATTTTAATTAATCGACCGACCGTTAAGCAAACACACCAAACTGGTTTCTAGGTTCGACGTCTCAACAATCATTTTGTGTTTTCCTTTGCCGTGTGTGATACAAAACTGAGTATCTGTTGAGGACGGATGGTCACAAAACAAGCAATTCAAATTCTATCCATTGGTTGAAATCCTTTATTACATTAATTGCTAATCAGGTAATTTTTCAAATGAAGAAACTTTACAATTCTCTGTCTGGAGCCGCTTGAATGTGAATATTTTCTGTGTTGTTTTATTCTTTAATGACAGTAAACTACCAAGTTGTGGACGGGACATTTGAGGACGTTCTCTTGTGCTTTGGGAAACACTGAATGTTGTTCGAACACCACCAACCGATTACAAAGAAGATAATGGACAGACTAATTGAAATAGCAGTCCATTATTCCAACAGCAGAAAATACACTGGCAACTGTTTTGATTAAAAGCCTGCCGTTACCGTTATTTCTAAGCAAAAGCATCCATTCAGATCTGATGCGTTCCTGGCCTTGTTTCACACAAAAGTGAGCACCTGGACAATCCGTATAGGCACAGTGTGCGACGTTATATAGACAAAATGATAAATCGGGATAGTAAGCATCAGATAAACTATAATGAAAACGATGGTTATCTGCAGCTCTAAGAACATGACAAACTGCCAAAGAGAAAAGCCAGAGCTTATGCCAAGGAAGTGTAAGTCTTTAAATAATGACCGAGGTTATTGACCTTCTCCTCTCACCAAAGCGACATGGCATTATGCAAACAATGCACACCCGAACAATACCCACTCTATTCTCTCACTAATAAACATCCCGACCGCACGACAATCGCAAATATATTTCAGCTTCATCTTGAAATGAAACACCGACTCACAGCCATCATCTGTTAACACAGCGGACACACACCTCCACACAAAGGAAAGCTTGTTGTGGTGTGTGTGTGTGTGTGTGTGTGTGTGTGTGTGTGTGTGTGTGTGTGTGTGTGTGTGTGTGTGTGTGTGTGTGTGTGTGTGTGTGTGTGTGTGTGTGTGTGTGTGAAGAGATAAATATAGTTATTTACCCATCAACACCTGCAATAGCAGTGGAAGAAGGTACATTAACTCAAGGACTATAATTAGGTAGTCATTTGAGAAAGTTGTACCAAAGTATTTCTATTTGATGCTAATTTATACTTCTAAAACACTGCAAATATTGTACTTTTTACTCATTTAACACTCATAGTTACTACTTTCTTCATAATAAATTCATATTATTACAATGAAAGTATCTAATATTGACAACCTACAATGATAACATCTATTTTTTTGTGATAAAAACACGATTATATATATATTCTATCATATTAAAATACTGTGGA